CTGTACTGACTTAGAGACATATTGGTCCCAAGCAAGAATACTAAAAAACAGGTTCCTTGAAAAGGGTTATAATGAAACTGACCTTGACAACACCTTATCCAATGTGGCGGGTTTAGATAGAAATGAAATGCTCTCATACAAGCCTAAAGGAGTATATACGAAAGTGTGCCCATTTGTAACCACCTTTTCGGTACAATACAGGCAAGTGGGAAGAATGATCAAGAAAAATTGGGATATCCTCAAAATGGACCCTGTCCTATCCCAAATACTACCTAGTAAGCCGGAGATCATCTTTCAGAAAGCTTCCGCTATTAGGAACTGAATAGCACCTAATGTGGTTGATCCTCCCACTAGGCTTACATTTTTTAATGAGGTAAAAGGATTCCACCCATGCAATAAGTGCATTATGTGCAGGTGCAATAACACTTGCAAGAGAAGAGTAGACACCTTTGACTCATCTATAACGGGAAGATCTTATGCTATCAAACAATTTATATCTTGCCATAGTAGGTTCGTGGTTTACCTCCTTTGGTGCCCCTGCAACAAACAATACGTAGGACGAACCACCAGACGCCTACGCAATTGCCTGCGTGAACATGTGGCAAATATAAAGAAAGGATATAGGGAACATTCCCTTTCCAACCATTATAGGCTTTTCCACAACAAGGGCCCCACTACGCTAAAATTCGTGGGTCTAGAGGTGATATCCCCACATTGGAGAGGGCTCCATAAAACCAGAGCCGTATCTCAGGCAGAGACCCGTTGGGTTTATGAATTAGGCACCTTATACCCCCACGGTCATAATATAGAAGTCAATATCAATTGTTTTATAGCGAATAGCTAGAGTGTGAATTATTCATATATTTTTTACTGCACGCCACATAATGCTGTTTAACAAAATTTACCTATGTGGCCTTGATTGGATAGTTTGTGACTTCTAGTATTTTGGTGAGCATTTTATGTTTTTATCTTTATAATTTTAACATTTTATGATTATTTTTCTTCATATATACTTATTTATGATATTTGTAACACTGTTTCTGACAAGTATTATATGATGATTTTTTATCACTTTTATATATTTGAGCACCTTATGTCATGGATGACACCATAGATGCTGTGATCATCTTACTATGAGAATATGCAGTATTTTTTTCCCTGTTTGGAGTACTAAGGGCGGCGAATCCTGCGCTTATGCCTTTTAAAAATGTTTTATAATTTTGTGTATTTTTTTTTATTTCTATTTTGATGTCGATTGGCATTTTTTGTATTCTTATCTTTATCATTGTATCTAATTAAATATGATTTTTTATGATTTAATGCACCTTATGCCCTGGATGAATTCGTAGACGTAATATCTTTTATTCCTGTTTGGAATGTTAAGGGTTAAGTGCTCCCGGTATTTCCATAGGGAGCAGAGTATGGTTAGAATACCTAAATGCTCTCAGCATGTCCAGAGGGAGTGGGGTATTGATATATTCACTCCTTTAACACATTTAAATATCGCTGTTTATATACTGCATTCCACCTCCCCTGGGAAATCGGCACTGATTTGATGTGCCCTGCTATCATTTAGCATCTTCCCAACATCTGTGTAGACACACAGATCGTTGTTTGAAATCCATGGCAAAATGGCGGCTAGCAAGGCGCGCATGCGCAGTTCTTTCCGCGCCTCGGGAAAATGGCAGCGGTTTGTGTGCGCATGCGCGAACTCAGTTTTTTAAGGAGAATCATTTCAGTCACACTGCTGATGGCATTCCCCCTCTGATGATGTGCCGTAGCACGAAAGGCCTCAGGAAGAGCCAACAGCATGTGTGACTTTCTGCACCGCCGTGACCACAAGGAGGTCCGGCGGCTTCTTACTGTGCCGGGTCAGTACATGTCCTTCTATTGCTCTAATACTGGCAGTATATGTATACATGTACCCCTGGTTGTTTACTCTATCTGTGACCTAATAAATCCATTTGAAACCTATTACACTATTGGCACTCCCTCTCTGTTTTTAACCCTCTCTCCGAGGGTTTCAGATCCATAGCAGCTGGTTCCTAGTGCACCTTGTATCCAGAAGAGGGAGCTCATCCGCCTTCACTTACTGGCTTTAAGTGTTCTCTGGACCTTCCACATATCACTACACCCAAGGCTGATGATCCACCTGGGAGGGATGGTCTGTGTATCTGGCTGATTACCTGATAGATGGTCATATACATGCGCATTTTTTATGTGCGGTCGGTGAGTGCGCATTTTATCTATACGGTTCCAGTCACCTATTTTGATATAGAGAAGATTCTCACTGCAAGTTTTTCTACAAGTTTTTTCGCATTTATGGAGAACTCATGAACTTTATGCTCACTTATTTGTTTACATATCTATTTACATATTTATATTACAGCGCTGCATTATATTTTTAATACTTAGTGCTTATACAAATATTAAGTGATTCAAAGGAAAGCAAAACCTTCAAACATTTTTCAGTTTATATAGTGAATGTTTGAGTTTGTAAAGAAGAGTACGAACACTGCTATTTTTTTGAACAGTCTAATATTCACTTTTCTTCAAATTTTTTAGAGGAACAACACAAATTTGATTATTTTTCTTCATGTTTTGATTTGGAATAGAATGTGTAGTGTTCCCTATGCATTTGTGTGTATGGAAATAAAAGCTATTAGAAGGATTTTCAGCTTTATTCACTTTTTTCAAACACACTGCTATTAATTTGAACACAACTGTATATAAAAAAAAAAGTAAAAATTTTAAAAATAACTGTAACTTACAAAATGAGACAATAAGAGGGAGGGAAAGAAAAAAAAAAAAAAAAAAAAAAAAAGGAAGTCAATTATTGCTAATTAAACAGTTAAGATCCCAATTGATATTTGAGACCTGAGGGATAAGTCTCATCTCATAGATCCAGCAGGTCCCTAGTTATGAGATCACTATTTTCACATTGCTTCATCTCCAGTGAGGGGTACAATTTATCTTTTCGAATAACTTTAATCCCAAAGGGATCTTTCCGGTGACAGTGCTTAGATTGTGACCTTTAAATCCCTTAAATGTTAGTCATGTTCCCAAATTCTTACTTGTGGTGCATGTGTGGTCCTGCCAATATATTGTAAGGCACTGGAAAGATGAACCTCCTTTTTGGTAGAACAGGTAATGTATTCCCGAATATTGTAAACGCAGTTGGTGGCACTAGGGATTAATGACTATACGAGCTACACTGTACTACACTTGCATACACAATCTCTTACATGTGAAAAACCCACACGGTCCACCTAAAAAAGACACTTTACTGGGTTTGCCCTAATAAAATTGGGAGATTTTCTCTAAGAAATAAAGTTTTTCTAAAGAGACCTTTTGGCATCATCTGGGAGGTGGGGGCCAATTGCTTTTACCTTTTTTAGTATACCCCAATGGTTTTTTTTTTTTTTTTTTTTCCAACATAATACTGATCCAAATAGATAGTGGCAAAAGGCCGCTCAAAACCATAAAAAAAATCAGCTTCATTTTTTGTTTTCCATCCATACTAGAAATCAACTTTATGTCCCGTTCTAAATGGTCTTCGTTTAGAGTCTCTACCTGTTTATTATAATCCACGGTTTCAGAACAGTCTGTTTAACATGGAGATATTGAGCTTTCAAACCTAAGATGTTAACTTCCTTGGTATCCCATTCATAGGAGAATTTAATGCCCCAATTGTTATTGTTCAGATCTACATCAAACCGCATGGTCGACAGACCCTTAATGGTTCTCTCGAGTAACCCCGATATAGTCTTGAAAGTGCACCAATCTGTCAAAATATCTTATTTACATCTCTCTAGGGACACTATATGGACAGCCCACAAAGCACTCATTAAAAAAGGCACCCTTTTACAATTGGCTGTCCAGGAAAAAAAAAAACAAAACACAACGGATGATAGCAACACTGGAAAGTAAATTTGGATCTGTTTGCATGTAAATTCAAACCACCCCTGACCCCAGAAACCCAGTTGAAGCTTGCATGAAACAATGCTTAGCTTCTGTCCAGATAAGTGAGCAAACTGCAAACACTGGCAAAAGCTAGGTGATCTACTTAGCCTACCATAGCCCAAGTCAGGAATAAAAGGATGGCCCCTTCTTCCAGACTGATCCTGTGCAACTAAAAGTGGTCTGAAAAGATGTGAACACTACTTTGCAGCTAAAAAGTGGGTACGTAGACAAGATTAGTTTAATTTTTGATGGGGATGTGTGCAATAAAGTTTTTTCTAAAAAGGTTGTTTTGACAAAGTGTACAAATGATTTACAAACAAAAAAACTCTTGCACGGATTTTTAAGATCTTTTTATTAAAAGAAGAGTTATCTTTCCACAGTAGTTAAAGCTTTGGCACATACAGTATAAAAAAAAAAAAAAAAATAAAAAATCACCAACCATAATTACATCAGATTCAACAACCATCACTTGCTAGATTTCAGAATTTGCTTTTCCATGTTAAAAGTAGAAGGAATCTTCTGAAGATGCAGCAGACATTGATAAATAACACTGAAGGAAGGTCAGGTATTAGTAAGGATTGTGCGGAAAAAAGAATTAAAATTGTGCATACGGTAAAGACACTTGTGCCAGAAACAGCAAATTCAGTGCTGCATTGGTAATATAATATAGCGCAATTGGTCCTGTTGGCATTCGGCTTCGATATTAACCCCAGTGCTGCCAAAGCCCTCCGCAATTCATTAACCAGTGTGGAGATAAACTGCAGAGTTCCCAAGGCCTGTTCAGGAACACTTTCAAACAAGGTTTACTCCTAAAAGGCTGCAATTTGCCAGTTAAAAACAAAAATAAAAACTTCCCTTTTGTTTCCCAGATCACTTGAAGCAAAAAAAAAAAAAATTACAATCATTGAATACTGAATGGCATGAAGTACTTCAGATGAATTTTGAAGCTTTTTCTCTTATCTGCCAGTCAGAGGGGGCCTCTACCCTCCTCCCACTTTAATTTAACTTAACATGCTCTGCTCCCTTAACTAGATCAATTAGTTCTTGGTCTGTTCAGTATGATGTGAATCTGCTTGAAGGCCCAAAGGAAGGAAGCACTCAATTGGACATTTCACATTCTGCAAAAGGAAAAAAAAATGAACAAAATGAACAAAGATTTCACAACCTATTTCTTTTGACGAATACCATTCTATAGGCTTATAAAAAGTATAGAGATTTTACTAGGAGTCTTTTTTTATCATAGTTTTTGTTGTAATGCAAAGCAAACATATCCAAGGTCCATATGCCAACTATTTATTACAGGTACTTATATAGCGCTGTTAATTTACACAGCACTTTACAGATATACTTTACAATTGCATTAGTCCCTGCCCTCAAGGACCAATTTAGACAGGAGCCAATTAACACACCAGCATGTCTTTGGAGTGTGCGAGGAAATCTGAGCACCTACAGGAAACACGTATGCACAGAAGTATATGCAAACTCCACGCCAGTAGAGGCATTGTTGGGATTTAAAACAACGACCCTAGTGCCACCGTGAAAAAGTGCTAACCACTTAGCCACTATACTATTCCAATCGAGTTTTTAACTGGATTTAATACTATGAGGAAATATAGACAATCCCTATGCAATACATATTACAATCAATAATTCTTAGTATCTCTGGAATCTTTCCATGTAAAAAAAAAAATTGGACTAATAAAATTGCAAAAATGGGTCCTTGAGAAATGTTCTGCTTGCTTTTCATTCCTGCACAGAAAGTGCTCAAATCTGGTCAAATAAGAACCTCCTAAAACATATGCAACAATCAATTTTGAGGCTTAGTCATCTGTTGGGCATTACTCTAGACTCTACAAAGCACATTTTTATCCTATTCAAGAACAGTCCAACTGAATGCTAGAAGTTTATTTGGCTAATGGATAAACCTGTTGAATCATAGGCTAAAGACCTGCATAGAGGCCGGTTTCTAACTTATGCCTACTGTTTAAGCCTAGGAAAACTGCATTCCGGCTAGTGCTTCTCTTCATGGGCCTATTACTTCTGCTATTGTAGATCATTACTTCATTTACTCATCTGGAACCGGGGAGCTGTATGCTCCTGGCCATCAGTTTACTGGCTCTGCCAGTGTTGGTCATTTGTTCTGACCACCGAACACCCTTGGATCTGTCCTGCCTATTTTTGACAGTTGACAACACAGAGGGTCCAATGAACTGTGACAATAGGTTTTTAGGTTATCCCCTTTCTTACTAAATTACTATTTTTTCAACTGACTTCCTCACATCAACTTTGTTTTTTTTTTTCAGGAGACCAGTCTGCTAAAAAGGGCATGTGAAGAAAAAACTTCCTGTTGAGGTTGCTCACATCACTCACCCTGCATCTAGTACAGTAATGCCAACATGACAGATGCAAGTTTATAACACTTACGTAATTTGTATGATATCTCTGTGTGTACTGGGAGACTGTGTGTCCGGTGGCATCTGGAGTAACAGCAGATCCTGGCCTTCGGCAATTATCACAGCGCCAACCCTGTCAGAACAAAGAGGCTTAACATCTGGCAAGAAATTTTTTATAACTGGGTTCTTGTTAACACAACATTCTGGTAATTGCTCAGTGATGTAAAGGCTACAATGAAATAGATAGATAACACTAGTCCTCAAGTCTGCACAAATTTCTACATATGCCTTTCAGGTACATATAGATATGTTCCCCTTGGGGAGCCAATGTCAACCCATATCAATTCTAGCTCTATCGATAGCTTTTCTGTGGCTTAAAACCAAGATGCACAGCCTCAAGGAGAACTATTTTCATGTGCCAGTTTCCCCTTCCACTTGTACAAAAATGACAGTTTTTGAGACATAATTTGAAAACTCTGACTTCTAGTAGTTAAAGTGGTTGTAAAGGCTCAATGTATAGATTGCATGAAGGTAAAAAGCATGAAAGTAAAAAGCCTTAAGGTAAAAAAAAAAAAACCTTGTTTGCAGAAGTCCCCCCTTAAAAACATACCTCTTAAAGCCACTGGCTCCTGCTACTGTCAATCACAGCCAGTGAGCCAATGAGAGAATGGGGGGCAAGGCCAAGCCACAGCTGTGTGTGAATGGACACACAGAGCAGCGGCTTGAGCAGGAACCTGTTCAGGTGCCCCCATAGTAAGCGGCTTGCTATGGGGGCACTTGGCAGGTGGGAGGGGCCATGAGCGCCAGTGGGGGACCCGAGAAAAGAAGGATCGGGGCTGCTCTGCGCAATACCACAGCACAGAGAAGGAAAGTATGACATGTTTATTTTTTTTTTTAAATTGCCTTTATGCACAATCTTATTAAGTATGGCCACATATGCCTTCCACAATACTACTACTACTATTACAGTATGGCATTGGTCAGGAAACACACAGTTTGCTATGGGCGCACACACAGAAGAGGAGGAGCATAGAACACTGATGGAGGACCCCAGAAGTGGAAGTGGGAGACCGTTCTAAAAGAAACACATATACTTACCTGCTCTGTACAACGGTATTGCAAATTAAAAAAAAAAAAAAAAAATAAAGGCCTTCAGAAGCGCTTTAAGATACCTTTTTTTTCCAGATTTTGGAAAGTAGAAAAAAAAAAAAAAAAAAACACAAAAACCGTTGAACAGGTTTAACCTCCCTGGAGGTATTCCCGAGTGTAGCTCAGGGTAAAGTTTCAGTACCAAAAGCGGTAACCCTGAGCTACACTCGGGCTTACCATGCGGCGTTGCTCAGGGATTCCCTGCAGTTTTTACCTTGTTCTTCGCTCCCGCGATGCCGTCCCCTGTAGCGTCCCCGGCCATCTCCTCTGGCCGATGCCGGCATCCGGCTTCCGTGTTCCGGTCCCTGCGAGTGTCGGGACGTACGGGGACCAGAACGGCGGCAAATGTAAAAAATTTTTTAAACTGTCATTATCTTAGAAATGAATTTGACATAGTAAAACATTACTGTATCAAACCATTTCACATACATTTTGTCCCTACTGCTTTGTCCTGTGCCCTGCCTGAATTTTGACTGTTCTTTCTGCCTGGAAACTTATAAAAGTCCATGGCGTCCAAAAAGCCTCCCTTTTGGTCAAAAGTGGTTTTAGACCAGCTAGAGAACAGCAATAGTAAATCAGAACCACTTGCAGAATTGAGTGATAATGATTTGTGGGGAAATTCGTCACACTGAAAATGATTTTGCGACTTTGCTCAGTGATGTGCGAACTTGGCGCTATATTTCAAATTTCAGTGTTTTTGGTTTGATATTATTGAATTAAAATTATATTATTTTTATATTAAATTATAATTTTGTGTTTCAAATTTTAATCATACCCGGGATGTTTACTAGACTCTTGTTCAGACAGATTTCAGTGAGTTATTCCTAAAAATTACAGGCCTACAATAAAAAAAAATACATATTTCCATGCAAAAAAAAAAAGTACCGCTTTCAGCACCAAAAATCTGAAATAATCATACTGCCACAAAGGTTAACAAGCCTACTGCATATGGACAGGTGTGTGTGTGTGTGTGTGTGTGTGTGTGTGTGTGTGTGTGTTTGTGTGTGTGTGTGTGTGTGTGTGTGTGTGTGTGTGTGTGTGTGTGTGTGTGTGTGTGTGTGTGTGTGTGTGTGTGTGTGTGTGTGTGTGTGTGTGTGTGTGTGTGTGTGTGTGTGTGTACAAGGTATATTAGCTCACCTGCTGTCCTCCATAGCATGTGCATGAACAGATGGCTCCCAGGTACTCTTTCTGCCATTGTTCCCCAACATTGTACAGTTTGCCTTCATCATAGCATGTAGCCTCATCTAGAAAAGGATACATACACTGAATAGAATATACCTAACAAAAAGGCAGCATCTACTTTTCTCAGCTCTAGGACTTCCACAACAGACATAGGACCTGCACTGTACTTACGTGGTTCACACTTGAACTCTCCCTTTCCATTTCCAAGACAAGTGCAGCTCATCATCTGTCCATTCTCTCCCTGGCGATCCCACTTCACACCAATTCTATGGTTAACTCCATTGTCATGGCACCATTCTGCAAGAATGAATAAATTAGATAGATCACAACACAAAATTGGACTGGCTAGACCATCCCATTTTTATTTTTCATCATTACCTTTAAAGTGGCTAATGTAAATGAATAATCTTAATGGCATTAGTCTATGTTGCATACTTTAAATAGTAGCCCACTAATTGAAATGTCTATTGCAGAGATGTGAATAAATGCCTACATTACTTTCTATTACTTAAGCAATCATTTTAGCATTAGATACTAACAAGAGGAAAGTTTGTACTCACTTGACGAGTCACATCGGAAGTGTCCACTACCGTATCCTAAACATTTGCACCAAAGTTTAAATCCAGATTCTGACATACGCTCCCACTCCTGTCCAACTGTGTAATGTGATCCAGTGAAAGTGTCATAACAGGTGTCCTCAGCTGGTTGTAGACCCCCATCAGGAACAACTGTCAAATAAGATATCAGTTATCAGGACAAAATTCTACATTACATCTTAATACATTAGTAGATATTTGCCTTGTAACATGTCCACAATTAGACCAGTTGTAAAAACTGCCCGTGGGATGGTATAAAAAAACCAAAAAAAAACAAATACTTGCACATGAATTCAGTCAGTGCACCTGGCAGCACAAAAGACCAGGTGTTTCAATATGCAAATACTGACTTCCAATTAGACTCAGTCCCTTCCTATACCTCATTATTGATCACTGGGGCTTCCCATCACAATGATGGACCAATGAGGCAGAGAGACAGGGATAGAGCTAAGTGTGAACATCTAAACATGAAAACAGAAAACAAAAATGCCCACCAATGTAGAGAATGCCGATGTATGTGCTGCACAAACACAAGACATTAAAAATGGAGACAGACAGAAAAGACAGTCCTCTTGTAAAATGGCACCATTTTGCCAAAGTAAAATTACATTGTGAGTGGAAAAAAAAAAAAATCCCTCAAACAAAAAAGCATTTAATAAAAAACAATATAGGAAGCCACTAGTCCAACACTGCAGAAAGTAAATGTATGTACTCAAATACTGATTGCCAATTATCCACCTACAGTATTACAGTAGTCAGACAGAAATGCAAGATACAACCAAACTATTCACGAAGATAGAGATAGATATATAGATAGACACAAACCACTCCGTATCCGCCACCCCCCTCTGCCAATCCCTCCATTGGCTTCCGATTGCTCAACAGATAAAATTCAAAATGCTAACATAGACGTACAAAGCTGTTCATAATACTGCCCCAAACTACATCACTGATCTGGTATCCAAATATCACCCAAAACATACTCTCCGCTCCTCACAAGACCTCCTTCTCTCTAGTTCCCTGGTCTCCTCCTCCCATGCCCGCCTCCAGGACTTTTCCAGGGCTTCCCCCATCCTCTGGAACTCCCTACCCCAATCCATCAGACTATCACCTACTCTCCTCACCTTTAGGTGCACCCTGAAAACCTAGCTCTTTAGGGAAGCCTACCCCGCCCTCAGCTAATTACTGAAAACTCCTCCACTCTTCCTACCACTTCATCCCCCACAGTTGTTTCCTCCTGTACCACTATCCCCTCTCTCCTAGATTGTAAGCTCCAAGGAGCAGGGCCCTCGAACCCCTCGTGTATTGAATCATATTGTTACTGTACTGTCTTGTGTATTGTCTCCCATTATAATGTAAAGCGCTGAGCAAACTATTGGCACTATATAAATCCTGTATAATAATAAAAAAATGTTATTTATACACACACACAAATATATATAGTGCTCAGCATAAAAGGAGTACACCCCTTTTGAAAAAGATTTTACTATCTCAATGAACACAAGAACAATTTCCAAAATTTTGTAGCTTGTTTAGCTTATTACATGAAAGTAAGGTTAATTTAACTTAGATGACAAAATCTTCAGTTTTACTCAAATTAGTTGATGTAAAAATAAATGGAATGAACAAGATAGCGCATATTACAACATCTATCTTTTTCCATTCTTCAAGAACGATCTGAACGATCTTTTAGAGCCTGGATGGAGAGTGATGCTCAACTTGTCTCTTCAGAATTTCCCTTAGGTGTTTGATTGGGTTCAGTTCAGGAGACATACTTGGCCACTGGATCACTTTCACCATGTTCTTCAGAAATGCAAGAGTGACCTTAGATGTGTGTTTTGGATCATTGTCATGTTGGAAAAGTGCACAACCACCAAGGACACGGAGAGATGGTAGCATCTTATCTTTCAGTATAGAGCAGTACATCTGTGAATTCATGATACCATCAATGAAATTCATCTCCCCGACACCAGCAGCACTCATGCAGCCCCACAGAAGGATACGGTCATCACCATGTTTCATTGTAGGCACCATGCATTTTTCTTTGTACTCCTCACCTTTGAAGCCATCAGTCCCAAAAACATTCATCTTGATCTTATCACTCCAGAGTCCCAGTAGTCTTTTTCAGCATGGGCCTTGGCAAATTCTAGGTGGGGTTTTTGTGCATGGGTTTTAGGAGAGGCTTCCTTCGTGGACAACACCCATGCATGCCATTCCTCGGCAGTGTATGCCGTATTGTTATGGGAAACAATCACCCCAGTTTGGCTGCTTTTTTAGCTAACTGCAGTGAACTTGAAAGGCGATTTTCTTCAACCCTTATCAGAAAATGGTCCTGTCAAGGATTTATGGTGTGGGGTTGTTTTTCAGGGATTGGGCTTGGCCTCTTAGTTCCAGTGAAGGGAACTCTTAAGGCATCAGCATACCAAGACATTTTGGGTAATTTCGTGCTCCCAACTTGGGGATGGCCCCTTGTGCCAACATGACTGTGCGCCAGTGCACAAAGCAAGGTCTATAAAAACATGGATGAGAGAGTTTGTGGTGGAAGAACTTGACTGGCCTGCACAGAGTACTGACCTCAACCTGACAGAAGACCTTTGGGATGAATTAGAGCAGAGACTGTGAGCAAGGCCTTCTTGTCTGTCATCAGTGCCTGACCTCACAAATGTGCTTCTGGAAGAATGGTCAAACATTACCAGAGACACATTCCTAAACCTTGCGGACAGCCTTCCCAGAATAGTTGAAGCTGTTATAGATGCAAAGGGCGGGCCAACTCAATATTGAACCGTATGGACGAAGACTGGGACGCCATTAAAGATCATAACCGTGTAAAGGCAGGCGTCCCGATACTTTACACACACACAAATTTATTATTATACATATACACACTTTTTTTTTTTAAAGCGTGACACACAAAACAGACTATTTGCTTACTAGCATTGCTGACTGTCACCAGCTCCTCCAGGATCTTGTGTCTATCAACTCCTTTCAGGGCCTCCACAATGATATTATATGAGGCTCCATGGGTGAGACCATTAAGAGTAGCACTAGTAGAGGTGCCAGGGACCCTAAACTGTAAAACAAGAAAAAAAAAAAAAAATGTAAAATCACTAAAATTACATTCTTGAATGAATACTGAAAACAAGACATTTACATAGTGAGAAGTTATATTGTCAATCACACAATAAAAATAAACCCCAACACCCCCATAAGAAAAATAAATAGCTGTCATTGATGTCCTCCTGAAAATGCTGGTACACTGGGTTCAATACTTCGGAGTCACATACCCAAAAAGATTTGCACAGATAGTCTGCAAAGTCAGGTTTATTTATCTTTATACTTTCTCTGAATCAGTGTCTCAAAGCACAGAAGCCAAAGTAACAAGCAAGAGAAGGGAGACAAAATTGCAGCTTCTACAATTAGGTCCATATATATTTGGACACAGGTAAAATTTTAGGTTTTTTTTCAGGTATTTACAATAACAAATTCAAGCTACAGTTATATATAAATGGATATGGGCTGAAAGTGTACACTCAGGTTTAATTTGAGGATATGTTCATCCAAATTGAAGGAAGGGTTTAGGAATTACAGCTCGTAAGAGTAGCCGTCCCCCCTTTCTCAAGGGACCAAAAAAGGAATTGGACAATTGAATATCATAAATAAAATGTTTATTTTTAATATTTTGTTGCAAATCCTTTACTGGCAATGGCTGCCTAAAGTCTGGAATCCATGGACATTACCAAAGACTGGGTTTCCTCCTTTCTGATGCTTTGCCAGGCTCTAACTGCAGCTGTCTTCAGTTCTTTGTGGGTCTTTCTGCCTTCAGCAAGTGAAATGCATGCTCAGTTGGGTAGAGATCAGGTGAATGTCTCAGCAATTGTAGAATATTCCACTTTTCCTTCAAAAGCTCCTGGGTTGCTTTTGCAGTGTGTTTTGGATATTGTTCATCTGTACTGTGAGCGCCGTCCCATCAACTTTGCTGCATTTGGCTGAATCTGTCACATCAACACTAATGACCCAGTGCCACTGGAAGCAATGCATGTGTAAGAGGTGTAGAAAATAGGCAGCCCCATAAAATTAAAATCCAAAGCCTAAGACCTAATATAACAGTAATCTATCTTTGTCAATAGAAGATACTAGTGATTGCATTTTTATTGTACCATCACAAGAGGGCAGAACTACTTCCTGTGATAATAGGAAGACACAGAAGTAGGAACCAAAAAGTCTAACACTTTGTTTCCTACAGGACAGTGATTACAGTGAACATATCCAGTCACATGTAATTAAGGGTTTTCTGTGTTTGTTACAGGTAAGCAGGAGGCTGTTTAACATGATAAATAGGACAAAATGACTTAACATGTGCCCTGGTGGTTAGTAAATGTCGCTGTTACTATGATGCAATCAGATTACTTGTAGCATAAATGTGAATATATATTGCAGCTAGGTGATTTGGCGCTAAGATACAGGGAATGTGATTTCTCTATTGTAATACGCTATTGTTATGCAGAATAGGTCACTAGCATATCTGCAGAGGTCTAGATCTTCAATATTGCGATTAAAGATGTTTATTCAAGTATATGAAAATACTTATTAATGTGTATGGAATATTTAGTAATGTATAGAGGACAGTGATTACAGTGAACATATCAAGTCACATGTAATTAAGGGTTTTCTGTGTTTGTTACAGCCATTCCTAATAAAACACTTCTGGTTTCACCCGACCCATCCTTCGCACAGTTGAATTATTTACCGTATGTGCAACAAAATTGGCGCCCAACGTGGGGCCGGGTGAAAGGAACGCCAAAAGGTCCGGAAGTGAAAAGGAGTGACTACGCTGTCCGTGGTGAAGTTACAGAAAAATATTAGGAGTATGGATATCGAAAAGTTGCAAGACAAAATCAGTGAACACCTGATTCACATGACAGTCGATCTCATGGAGACTTGCCAGTTTATAAAGGCCTCCGAAGCAAGTATGGCAAAAGGAAAAACCCGGCGCCATTACATGCGGATAGTGAATGAGGTGTTAGATGAACTGTTAGATGAACTGGTAGAGACTGAAAGTGAAGAAGTGGTGACACAATTTCTGCAGGCAACTAAGAAATTCATTGGTGATTTAGAGAAGAGAGATAACATTGAAGCACCAAGCAATAGTGGCAAAGACCCTCAAGTAGAACAACAGTTAAAGGATTTAAACCAGCAATACTACAGTATACAGGAAAAACTTCAAGGAAGTTTCCATCCAAACAGGAACGACAAGGTGAACCTGTTGATCTTTTCATACTTATGAAACAATGGACCAAACTCTACCTCGATGACAATAAAATTTTGAGACGGAAAACATCTGGTTCTCAACTAGTGTTGCCCAAGTTGTACCATCACTTAGTATGGAAAGAGTTACATGAAGAGATGGGACACTTAGGAGTAGAAAGGACTGTAATTTTTTTAATCAGAGAAAGATTCTTTTGGCCACATATGCATATGCAAAGGGACACTGAGCATTACATCACTCGTCAATGTACTTGTCTGAAAGACAAACGGCCAAATAAGCTTGTTCGTGCCCCGTTGAACAATATTGTGACAACTTATCCTTTTGAGATGGTCTCCATTGACTTTCTTCATCTCGAGAAATGTAAAGATGGATATGAGTATATCTTAGTGGTAATAGATCATTTTACAAGATTTGCTCAGGCATATGCAACCAAGAACAAGTCCGCAAAAACTGTTGCTGACAAAATATTCAATGATTTTGTCTTGAAATTTGGATTTCCTACGAGAATTCACCATGATATGGGTAGAGAGTTTGAAAATCACTTGTTTTTGACATTAGGGAAGCACTGCCACATCCAAAATTCTCACACAACGCCATATCACCCAGAAGGTAATGGGCAAGTTGAAAGATTTAATCGTACCCTGCTATCAATGCTTCGTACCCTGTCACCAGATTCCAAAAAGGACTGGAAAAATTCACTAGCAAAGGTAGTCCATGCATATAATTGTACTCGAAGTGAAGCTACAGGACAATCTCCATTCTTCCTACTGTTTGGAAGGTCTCCAAGACTACCCATTGATAGTATGTTTGACACTCCAGTAACTGAAAAATACAAGAACTACTCTGAATATGTGAACATATGGACAGATAGAATGTCTGAGGCCTATAAGGTTGCTTCAAAAATAGCTACTCAAGCTGCACAGAGAGGAAAAGAACACTATGACAAGAAAATTCATGGAGCTGAACTTCTACCAGGTAGCAAAGTTCTAGTCAGAAATCTTACCGAAAGAGGAGGTCCAGGAAAATTGAGATCATTTTGGGAAGATACCATACATGTTGTTCTTAAAAAGAAGTGTGCAGACAGTCCAGCGTATGAAATCAAACCAGAAACTGGAAAAGGCCGAACAAGGATTTTACATCGCAACTTACTATTGCCATGTGATTATCTACCTAGCGACCAAGGTCAACAGATACCCAAAAGACAGTGCAAGAAAACAAGGGAAGGATCAAAATACAACTCAACAACCTACACAGACATCCGAGGGAGAATCAGAAAATGAATCAGATCACGAACAAAGACACTGGAGATCTTTCATCCCAGTCACCCAGCATGACCACTCAGAGGAAAGTACAGAGCTAAATCCAGAAGCTATTGAGTTCTACCCACGTCAGCTGGAAGTAAGTGAATATGATTTAGGAGTCAGAGAGACCGAGCCTATAGATCAAATTGAACAAACTGAGTATGCATTTGGAGGTATAGAATTGAACAAACTGAGTATGCATTTGGAGGTATAGAAGAAGAATGCCCAGCAACAGAGAACACAGAACAACTTGTTGAAAGTGATGTAGAGGAGAATGAGGACCTTTCAGATTCACTTCCTCAATGTAGAATACAACCCTACAGGAACAGGAGACAACCAAAGATTTTGACATATGACACTTTAGGTCAACCCAGTAGTGTTACCAGAGTTTCATCTATCCAGGTTATAGACAGTATTCCTACATTACCTGTTGACTCTAGCTGGTATTTCAGTTCAGAATGTTTTGCTGAAGACTATAGAAGTTGGTAGAAGTGATTATGTTTATTGATCCATTGTTTACTATTTGGGACACTGCAACACATGCCCATGCCATCACACTGCCTCCATGTTTTACAGATGACGTTGTGTGCTTTGGATCATGAGCTGTTACAAGCCTTCTCCACATTTTCACATCCTGTCATTCTGGTACAAATTAATCTTAGTTTCATCCATCCAAAGAATGCTTTTTCAAAACTGGTCTGGCTTTTTTTTTTTTTTTTTAACCTCCCTGGCAGTATTCCCGAGTGTAGCTCAGGGTAAAATTTCAGAACCACAAGCGGTAACCCCCGAGCTACACTCGGGCTTACCATGCGGCGTTGCTCAGGGATTCCCTGCAGAGCTTACCTTGTCCTTCGCTCCCACGATGTGTCCCCTGCAGCGTCCCCGGCCATCTCCTCTGGCCGATGCCGGCATCCTGCTTCCGAGTTTCGGTCCCTGCGAGTGTCGGACGTACGGGGACCAGAACGGCGGCAAATGTAAAATTTTTTTGAAACTGTAATTTTCTTAGAAATGAATTTGACATAGTAAAACATTACTGTATCAAACCATTTCACATACATTTTGTCCCTACTGCTTTGTCCTGTGCCCTTCCTGCATTTTGACCTACACATGATGTAGGTCCATAGCAATAGATTCCAAATGCAAATACCACACTTAGAATCAACTCCAGACCTTTTACCTGCTTAACTGATGAAGAAACAACAAAGAAGTAGCCCACACCTGGCCATGAAACAGCTTCTGATTTAAGTGTCCAATTACTTTTGGTCCCTTGAAAAAGGGGGGATGGCTATGCTTAAAAGCTGTAATTCCTAAACCCTTCCTCCAATTTGGATGTACATACCCTCAAATTAAACCTGAGAGTGTGTACTTTTAGCCCCTATCTATTATATAACTATAGCTTGAATGTGTTTTGGGAAATACCTGAAAAAAAACTAAAATTGTGCCAGTGTTCAAATATTTATGGACCTAACTGTATATTTCTCTCATGAAAGGTCTCCTTTTAACTGCCCTTCCAGCCACCCTTTAACAGTTCTGTTATCGAACTCACTCCACAATATTTGAAAAACAAAACTTTTTGATAAAACCACCCAATAGGTTAGGACTGACCATTACCCAATATTACTTTGCATACCATGACTCACTAGCCAAACT